GGGGTTGGGGGGTAGGGGACGGGGAGGGGCAGCCGGCGAGGCAGATGGTGCCTGGCACGATTGGACGCCGTTGACCCCGTCGCAGCTTTTGGCGCGCAGATGTCTGCCTGCGGCGCTATGCCAGGAAGCTCAAACCAGTGGTGATTGGCAGCTTCCGATGTCCGCACCCCTGCCAAAGCACGGCCCAAGCAAACATTGCACAGAGGCGGCGCGCCGCATCGCGCCTCGCCGCACATAGCAGACCAGGCACCTTCTCAATGTTCTGCAGCCGCTTATAGTGGTCGGAAAATCCCGGCCCGTCTCCTGGGTTTGCGTGCTGCGCCATATCAGGAGGTACTACCGACGCCTTCGGATCTCCAGATCAATGCTAGCCGTTCATAACTTGTTGTGGAGTGGCTGTCAGCGGTACATGCTTTGATTTTGTATACTATGGCGATTCAAACACAGAACCGACTGATGAGGCGGGGTCGACGATGAGGCGGCAATGCCGCTACTGCTTGCATGCAGCCAGCTCATCCACCATATGGCCCCAGCATGCCCATTATCTGCTGCAATGCGATGCTAATCATTTCATCTGCCTTCCTCGGCGCACCAGCCAGCTCAACAGCAGGCCAACACCGACGGTCAAACGACACAAGTGCAGGACCCAAGACACTGCTGAACCATTCGAAGCAGCTTCCGATGAACCACCCTGGGGACTCTTTAACTGTAAATTTGGTAGGTGTTTCCAAGAGCCGCCGTGGGAGTGTGTACCTTGTACGTGTTGCGGCGACCCGTCAACGCCTGCAAAACACACAGTCAACGCGAAGGCTCATGACGAAATTGTAATGGCCAGCTAGCCACCAGCGCCAAACCGCGGCGTCTGGCAGGGTATGACGCAGCACACTGCCAAGGTGATGTCTGATCGCGGGCTCTTGACGCAAACCGCGTTGATCAAAGCCACCGTGCTGCTGGTGGGGTTTGTGCCCTTGAACCACGGTCGCCGTTCGCGCCAGCACAGCTCGCCTGAGCGGTGGCGCTTTATGCTCTAGAAATTGACGTTGTACTGCTATCAGTGTACGCCTGCTGGCTGGAACGCGACACTGCGTCATTGCTCTGCCTTGTTGGCGGCAAGGACACATCAGCCGCTCCATCAAAGGGGCCCCAGTGGGGTCAAGCAACTGGATCCGTGATCGCAAAGTGGCGCTGATAACAAGAATTTTTACCTGGCTGAAGTCGATTTCGCAACAAAGACGAAACCCAGGGGTGTCTGCACGCAGGTGCTGCTGCTACGGCACCCCTGCTCATTCCGTCGGAACAAACATTGGCCCATCGCGCTGTCTAAGACGACCCCAGATATTGCTTAAGACTTCTAGCACGCGTCTCAGGCGGATCCCGCAGACAGCGCCAAGGATCTCAGAGATGGCTCTCGCGGTGCAGCGCTCCCTGGCCGGGACTCGCCTCTCCGCGCCCCGCGCTGTGCCTAAGCTGCCTTCCGTGCGTCGTAGCGTGCGGGTGCAGGCCTCTGCCAGCACCAATGAGCAGGTGAACAGGCCTGCAATTGCGGAAGCTCGTATCAGGGCGGCGCAGCGCTGCGGCGAATCGACTGTGGGCAAGCGCTGCTCCCCAACTCACATCCGGGCGGCTCGAGCAAGGACTTGAACAGATGTGTCAGGCTGCGGCGGCTCGAATTGGGGCGCGCGGCCTCCCGGAAGCGTCTCGTGCCCGCCCGCACCTGGGCTGCTGAGGACCTCATCACCCCATGGCCGTGACAAGACGCACCCCCTGCACGCACGCGCCGATCCGCGCCCCCGGCCCCTCCTTGCGCCGCCACCATCCCAGATCTCCAAGCTCCTGGCGCTGCCCGCCGCCGCCGGCGCGCTGCTGGCCGCCGGCAACGCGCAGGCCGCGACCGAGCTGGCGCAGCTCGCCGCCACCAGCGACGCGCGCCTGGCGACCATCGCGCTGCTGTTCGTGCCGGCCATCGGCTGGGTGGGCTTCAACATGCTCGGCCCGCTGAACAACCAGCTCGCCCGCATGAGCGAGAACAACGCCGCGCCCGCCCCCAAGGCGAAGGCCGCCAAGCGCCGCGGCGTCGCCGGCGCCGTCGGCCTGGGCGCCGCGCTGTCGCTGGCCGCCGCGCAGCAGGCGGAGGCCGCCTCCGAGGTGGCGCAGCTCGCCGCCACGGACAACAGGTGAGCGCGCGACGGCACTGGAAGCCCGTCTTCGGTCAAGGCGCACTTGATCTAGAAGGTGGTGCGGCTGGACAGCGGGCGTCGGCGCCCTACAGCCAGCCCCGCCTCCGGGGTAGCGCACAGCGGGCGCGCACTGGGCACTGCGGCAGCCGAAACGGGCGTCGCTCCCATGCGACCTCACCAAGAGCCGTGGCCGAGCCGTGCGGGTCAGACTTGTGCGCGGCTGCCCATGCATCAGCGTGGCGGCGCCGGCCAAGCACACGAGGCGGGCCGAGGGCCGAGGGCCGAGACCTGCAACCCCGACCCCATCCCCCGCGACAGGATCGGCATCATCGCGCTGCTGTTCCTGCCCGCCGTCGGCTGGGTGGCGTTCAACATCCTCGGCCCGCTCACCAACCAGCTGTCGCGCATGAGCGAGGCCAACGCCGCGCCCGCCCCCAAGGCGAAGCCCGGCAAGAAGAAGCGCGGCTTCGCGGGCGCCGTCGGCCTGGGCGCCGCGCTGTCGCTGGCCGCCGCGCAGCAGGCGGAGGCTGCCACTGAGGTTGCGCAGCTCGCCGCCTCGGACAACAGGTGTGATCAAGGGCGGGCGCCTTGCCATCCGCTGATGCTCGTTTTTGCAGGGGCGGCGCCGCCGGCGGACAGGGGAGGCTGCCAGCCGGGGCCAGCATGCCGCCGCAGCAACGCAGTGCAAGCTGCAGTGTGGACGGGAGGGGGCATGCCATCGCTGCGCATCACAGGGCTCTGCCGCTGCCACGCCAGAGCGCCGCTGACGCCACCTTGTCGCGATCGCGGCGCGCTCCCCGTCCCAAACAGGATCGGCATCATCGCGCTGCTGTTCCTGCCGGCCGTCGGGTGGGTCGCGTTCAACATCCTGGGCCCGCTGAACAACCAGCTCGCCCGCATGAGCGAGAACAACGCCGCGCCCGTCGCTCCCACCAAGAAGCGCCGCTGAGCGCCAGCGGCGGCCAGGTGGCCGGCTTCCGGCCCCCGCAGGGCTCTGGGTTTTTTTCGAGGGGCCTGCGAGCCCCTTGCCCCGCGCTACGAGGGTGTGTGTAAACGAGTAGGCAGGCCTGCGCCGCGCGCGAGGCGCCGGCGCTTCGAGTGGAGCGGCGCGAGCCTTTCGGAGCGGCGGCGACCGGGGGTCGCGCTTTTTTTGGGTGGTTGGTAACAATGGATCTGAGCGCGCAGGATGCACATACAGAATGTCGCAGCGGTCGGCTGCAGATATGATTGAGACGATGGGGATCTGGGGAGCGGCGGACGATGACGGGGGTCGGTCAGGCACCACACCTGGATCCCTGTGGTGAGGTGAAGAGAGGAGCTGGGGCAGCAACAGCATGCGAGGACTGCTGTGGGTTCCGATGACCACTTGCAAGCGGGCGCACAGGAAGCCACAGTGCATGCAGCTGGGCTCGCTAGCAGGAGCCAAAGCACAACAGCAATGCCTTGCTTAGCTTGGTGTATGCGGGCCAGCTGGCGCGGCACAACTCGAGTGCGCAGTGCTTGCCAGCAGGTTCACAGCTGCTGCTGCTGCTGCTGCTGCTGCTGCTGCAACCCCGTCGCTGCTGCTGCTGCTGCTGCTGCTGCTGCTGCTGCTGCTGCTGCTGCTGCTGCTGCTGCTGTTGCTGCTGGCGCCGCTGCGCGCGCAGCGCGTTGCTGCGCACCACAGTCAAAGAGGCAGTCAAACCCCGGTCCAACCCCCAAATGAGGTGCAAGAAGGATGTCCGAGGTCAGTCTAGACGAATCATACCAGCCTTGCGGTCACAGCAGGCCCATGAGACCCTCCTTCCACTCGACCTTCGTACCGGTAACAGCAAGGCAACTTCGCGAAGGCCACCTCCCCGTATTCGCGTTCAGGAGCCTTCAAATAGCCCACACCCCGCGTCGATCGTTCATTCGTTCATATATCCGATCACTATATCACACATGACCTCGACCACTCACTCCTACAAGGCCGACGCTCCGAGGCGATGCACCGCTGCACTCGCGCGCGCGCTGCTGGCTCGGTCACTCTGTGCCCGGGTCCAGGGGCGCCGCCGAGGGGCTCTACCAGGCGGGCCAGGCGTGGTGGGCGGGGAGTGTCGGTCGCCAAACGGGCCGGCGGCCGGCCTCCCCCTGCTGCTGTCCGCTCTGCGGGACAAACAGCGCAGGACAACGCTCACGCTCTGGGGGGAGGGCCGCGCCCGCTAAGCGGAGCGGTCTGAACCCTAGGGACACGCCACCTCGGGGCTTCTCCCCATTCCTCCCACCGGCAGGGCGTTCAAAGCACCCTGGGACGTTCTCGCTGGCTGTTTCTCTCCTCGCCCATACTGTTCCCTTGCTTTGACCCTGCAAACGTGACTCTATCTGGTGCCTCCGCGTGTGCATGTACATGTATCGCAGTGCAGCTCCAAGGGTCGGCAGGACATTTTGCCGTTGCTGCTGCTGCTGCCCCCCATCCATCAAGTCGATCCATCACGTCCAGCTGCGGCACGCGCCGCATGGGGCGCCATGCATGGTGCGTGCCAGGGTGCTTCCCGGGCACTCATCGGCCTGGGCTCCCGGAGAAGCTGCGGTTGACGGCGGCATGGGGCGCATGCAAGCACGCACCCGCAGCGCATGGGCCGCAGATATTCCACAGCAACTGGCATGCGTGTCCGGCCGGCAACCAGCGCGTGATGCTGCCCCCCGGCCCTGCGGCGCGTCCGACGCCATGGTGGCAACCCAACGAGCTGGCGCGCGGACGCGAGTGCCGCCGGCGCCTGCGCGTGCGCTCGCCCGCAGCGCTGCTGGTCCCCGCTCGGGCATCAGCTACGGCACCCTCAGGGCCTGCGAGACGGCCAAACGGTCTTGGTCATGCATGCGTGCGCCGGCCGAAGTGCATGGTATGTGCCATTCTGAGCCCTTTGAATCAATGCGCATGCGAGGGTTTGGCACAGGCGCATGGCACTGAAGCCCAGGCAATAGATGACCTTTTGTGCCCGTAATGCGGGATCAGCTCCCCTTCTTCAGCACCCACATGACGCCCAACTTCGGCAGCGCCGTGCCAGCCTTGGTTTGCGCACAACAACCTCAGCCAGCCGCCCGCCACGATCGCCAGCTGCCTGGGGAACATAGACAGCTGTGCGCTGACCGCCGGCGCCTAGAATTGGCAAATCTGTCGACAAAAGCTCAGGCGCACGCCGCCGAGGCCGCCCTCGCTGCATGTACTTTGCGAATGAAGATCGGCGGCTTGGTGAGGCAAACTGCGCGGCCTCACCCTCTGCCACGGCTTGGCCGACGTTAGGGTGCTTTGAACGATCTACTGACATGGCGCCGCAGCTTATGGCGCATACATACTCCTCTTCAACAGAGGTGTGCGCGTGTGTGTTGGTAAGCACATGGAGCCTGGCACCCCTCCAGGTGCGGCCGCCTGAGACCCGAGGCGGCGTTGTCTGCGGCGTTGCAGGGCGGGCTGGTACTACGGGGTGAAATAGGCGGGATCTACATGCTTGATACGCACACAAGATGCATGAGAGGGGCGCAGCAGCATAGTGTGCTATCCGAACCGCTCGGCTTTTTGTCGCGTGTCTTGTCGCCTTTGATGAGGAGGCAATGCTGTAAGTCATATACAGCAATGCACGATACCAAATGACAAGCACTGCAAGTACGCTCAACATACCGGTATTGTCAGCATGCAAAGCTTGACGCGGCACCCCACGGCCATCAGGCAGGGTGAGTGGCCGCAGCCCTGCGCCATTTGAGGTGTAACTTTTACCAATACTGCTGCGTGCACATGCGCGTGCTGCGGCGGCATCCTCTGAGCGCACCGGCTGACATGCGATTCTGCGCGGCCGCCGCTGCTGCTGCTACATTTGCGCTTCTCGCCCGCTGCAGGTAGCATGTCATATGTGGCTCAACCCGGCGTGCTGCCGTGGCCCCCATGCCCCGCGAACTGCTGCCGTCGGGCGCCGCGCTGCCGTGCAAGCGCTGCGCCGCCGGCGGACGCAGCCCCGTTGCCACGCAGGCGCCTCAAAGCAGAGCAGCCACAGCAAAATGGCGCAGAGCACTACAGCCGCCAGCACCATGACGGCGCGCGGCGCGGCGCAGGGCTCGGGCGCGGCCGCGGCCGCGGCCGGCCTGGGCCGGGGCAGGAGCAGGAGGGGTGGCGGCAGCAGGAGGGATCCAGGGGCTACACGCGGCAGAGGCAGCAAGAGCATTGGGAGGGCGAGGAGCAGGAGGGAGGGGACCGGCAGCAGGGCGACGGCCGGGGTGGCAGCGAACGGTCTGGCTGGCGCCAGGAGCAGCAGCACTCTGGTGACGATGAGGGCGGCCGCTGGCAGCCGGACGGGCGGCAGCGAGAGCGGCGGCAGTTTGACGGAGGGCGTGCCGGCGGCCGCTTCGATGGCGGCCGCTTCGACGGCGGCCGCTTTGGCGGCGGCCGCAGCGGTGCGGGACGGGGCCAGCAGCAACGCTGGCAGCAGGGGCGTGACGGCGCGCCCGGCGGCCGCGGGCAGCAGCAGCACCGCGGCCCACTGCGCGGCGCCGACGCCTGGGCGCCGCCCGCGCCGCCGCTGCCCCTGCCGCCGCCCGTCGCGCCGGGCGCGATGGGCGCCAACTTCCCCTATTACTACGGCTTCGGCCCGAGCCAGCGGTGGCAGCTGCCGACCGCCCTCTCGGTCACGTGGCTGGGAACTTCATCGGGAACGCCGACCAAAGACCGCAACATCAGCTGCACCCTGGTCAGGACAGCCAAGGCCATCTTCATGGTCGACTGCGGCGAGGGCTCCCTCGTGCAGCTGCGCAAGACGGGCATAGAGCCCGCGTTTGTAGAGGCCATCTTGGTCACTCATCTGCATGGAGACCACTGCTTCGGCCTCTCCAGCATGATCACGGCAGTGAGCGAGCGCCGCCGGCGCCGCGCGGACGCGGGGCGCCCGACGGGCGGCGTGCGTGTGTACGGGCCGCCGGGCGTGAGCGAGCTGCTGCGGGCGCAGATGGTGCTGACGGGGCTGCAGCACGAGCTGGCGCTGCCGCTGCACATCACTGAGTGGGTGGAGGACGAGAGGTGAGGGGGGTCGCGTCGTGGCACATTCCATGGGTGCAGGGGCGCAGTGGAGGAGCTGGGTTTTGCATAGGGGTCGCCTGCACATCGGATGTGCGCGCGTGCGGCGCGCGCACGTGGGCGCGACCGCGGCGCGGGCGCGGGGGCGCCCTGCACAGTTTTTGAATTGTTGGCCGCCTGGGCCCAGCGGCTGTGGCCGCAGGGCTTCTGCACGACCTTTACCCCTAATGCGGGCCCTCAGTTGCAATTGCAACAGCAGGGAGTAAACAGAACAACTCAAATACTTTGCTCCAGCTGCACACGCCCTCCCCTCCTTCCGAACACCCTCGGCCGTGTCAACGCCTTGCCGCCTACCCCTCAACCCGTCCATTCCCCCTCTAAAACCCCGCCCCCCACACGCGTCGGGTGGCGCTCAAATCCAAAGAACTTTGCATCAACAACCCCCTTCCACACACACGGACACACAAACGCACACACACACACACACACACACACACACACACACACCACTCCACCTGCCGCCGCCACGCCCCCGCATTACCCTACCCCCCAGGGACGCCCATGGCCCCGTGGCTTTGAACGACCAGGGCACGGTGCTGCTGTCTCGCCAGGCGCCCGAGCCCGTCCGCAGCGAGGCGCCGCCTGAGCTGGCGGAGCGGCTGCGCGGCACAGGCATAGGCCACCTGGTGGCGCAGGGGGTGCAGCGCAGCTATGTGAGCGCACGCGCGGCGCACGAGCACACGGTCGCGGGAGCCTGCTCATGCTGTGTGTCTGTGTGTGTGTGTGTTCGCATCCACCTCTTGGCCATTGTAAAACCCCTACCGTCCCTCTTTGTCTCCCTCCTACATCCCCCATTCGATGCTCGGCCCCCGCAACCCCCAATCCTCAAAATCTGACGTGTGACGTCATCGCCCGCCCACCCAC